CAGGCCTGACCAGCCCCAAACCAGACACAACGGTGGGTGCGTGGGTGCGTGGGTGCGTGGGTGCGTGCTGCACGCCCATGCGAAGCCCATGGGAGGCGAGGGCGGGGCGCCATCATGGCCGGTGGGCGGTCGGCCGTGGCCCTTCTGGAAGCTTCACGCACCTGCGCCCAGCCTCGTGCCGCTGCCGCCCCCATCCGCCTATAACACGCCAGTCCACCATGTCCCTGACCTCGTCCGATGCCCCCGACGACCCTGAACGGCCAGGACACTGCTACATGCTCACCCTCTTCTCCTCGTCTCCAACAGTCCGCCCCGTCTGAACATCCAAGCGGCACAGGTTGCAATGCATGCATGGCCCAAGTCGTAGCGCACAGTAGCCAGGCCCGGCCCGCCTCGTATGCGCAACAGCAGAATGCGCCCCACGGCAAGAAGAGGCCCGCCGACGGCTCGCTGGAGAACGAGCAGCGGCTGAGCAAGCGCTTTGATCTGTTGAATCTGGGTATGTCCATCGTCTTTCCCCTTGTCGTCTGGCACACGCGTACTGACAGCACCCATCTCGCAGTCGACCACAATGGCACGCGCCTCTACATACCCGTCCCAGGCTCCTCGCAAGGCGCAAACACCACACCCGCCCACGCGTCGCCCAGCCAGCATCCCGTCCCCGTCGCCGACGCCCTCGCCTTCGCCTCGACCCGGCCCCGCCGCGACCGCAAGCCATCGCGCGCCCAGGACGCCATGGACGTCGAAGACACCCCCCACCGCGTCTACATCTCGGACCTCAGCGCCGAGCTCAGCGACATCGAGTCGGATGAGGAAAACCCCATTTTCCTCTCCGACATTGAAAAGCACCTCTCCAAGATCCCTGCCCACGTCCTGCGCGGCCCAGACCCAACGCCTACCCGCGACAACCAGATGGTGCTGTACAATGTCCCCACCAGCCTGACGGTCCCTGAGGCCCAGGATAACGTGCGCAAGGCCATTGTCGAGACGCGCCAGCGCATTCGCGACAGACAGGTTAATCCCCTTACCGAGCCTCCCAGTGTTTTTGCAAGAGGCGCTGCGTCCCCGTCGACGGGAGCATCCACGAGTATGATGATGGATAAGAGTAATGATATACCCCCTGCCGACGAAGTCACCGGAGATGCCATGGACATTGACTGATGCAACTGATTATGTGTTTTTTTAACCCTCTCATATCACGACTTTTTTACACAGTATGCACACGACTTGCACTTTTAGTCATGCATACATACATACATATATATATATATATATGTATGTATATATACATCTCACTCACGAATGCCATGACCCTTGAATTCTTCTTTCTCTTTTCGAATCAAATCGAATAAAAAAATTTCAATAAATAACGCTCGCTTTGCTATCATGTGAATTAACGTTAAAAAAAATGGCGATGCTTTCTCCATCTCTTCCCCCTTTGATTACAATTGTCGTCTTTCTGTTCTGTACAAAAAAAGACTACAACCATCCCCTTATCTTCCTCGTCCCATTCCCCGCCCCCCCCCAAAAGAATACACGGGAGGTATGATCCAGTCACACACACTCTCTCTTTGAATTCTCTTTCAAGTAACAAAAAAATTTCTTATACATGGATAGAAACTTATAATTTTTTTCCTTTTTGGTCTCTCCAGCGGAGGAGAGAAGACGCCAAAGAGTTTTTACCGCCTAAACCGGCCTAGGACGCCCATGATCTTTGCTTGAGCTGGTCTGGGCGGTAGTTCTTGGGATGATGCTTGCCCTTGCTCAACGTCCGACGTCGCAGGAGCACCACCTACCACCCCACTCTGTTGGGGTCCCGCCTGCGCTGGTGCCATTGGTGGTCCGCCGTACTGTCCCATTTCCATGGCATACTGGTTCGGGGCAGTCTTTGCAGAGCCCTGTGGTGCGAAGTACTGGGGCGGCGCATCGCTGTTTTGATACAGTGGCGGGGGTTCCGCCCACGCGCCGTCTTGACGCTGCGTGTACTGGGGATTTGCGGCGTTGTTGGGGACACTGTAAGGGTTTTGTGTTTGGTAGAAGGTGAAGTGGTTTTGAGGCACTTGACCGTGGCGTTGGCGTTCCGAGTAGGAGATTAGGAACTAGGTGGGTGTTAGTACACTATTGTCTGTGTGACACGTGGAACAGGGCAAAGGACGTACGCGGTGATACGACAGCAGCGGTAGACCCTTTCGTAACCGTCTCCTTGCGTGGATGCGGCCGCCGACGAACCAGCCAAAGAATATGATGAAGAAGAGGGCGAAGATGATCCATTTGATGATGATGCCTTTCTGTTAATCTCAAAGTTAGTTTCCTCCTTTCGCATTTATTGCTAGCAAATGCAATACAACACGTACCTCTGTGTACCAAAATCCGTCTTCGACAAAACATTCCGTATCGCCGTCCACCGTCTCGTCGCAGTAATATCTCTTTAACAGAGCCATGGCTGTATATGTGGATATGTCTATGTATGTGTGTTTGTATATGCAAATTTCCACTTGTGCAAGCGGACGGACACCTCTCCCGGGTATATTGACCAAAACAAATGCAAACAATGGAAAAACGATGAACAACCCAGAAATCAGATGTGGAAAGTGGAGAGGACTAGGGCGTAGGAGGAGGAAATCTCCAAGTGGAAAAATAATAATAATAATAAGATGGGAACGTGGGGAATCAGAAATCTCGAGTCGTATAGTGATAATAAGAGGGCGCGAAAGCGGGTTGCCGCGCAGGGCCAGAGGGGTGATATGCAGCCCCTCTCAGCAGGTAGCAGGCCGGGACAAGCTGCGCCACTCAAACTCGCGGTTGGCTCGCCTTCGGTCACCCGAGATGCCGCGGGCAATGTGTGCGTCGCGTCTGGGAGAGGGTTTGGCAACGGGCGGTGTTTCACCCGTGTGTGGCGTGGGTGTGTGGTGGTTTCAAGTTTGCAGCAGGCAGGCAGCCAACGTCGATTTTGAACGAGGGGACACTTGTTGCCGGACGACTAGTATAGGGGAGTGACAGGATGCAGCAGAATAAGCGACGAGGACGAGGTTATAGCGAAGGTCACTAATGCGCGACTGGAGAGAGAGAGATGGAGAGAGATGGACAAGGAAAAGGACAAAAGAAAGCGGGGATCAATAGTGGTGGGGCTGGTGACAAGTCGAGGTTGGGGAAGAGAGGAGGTCGGGATGCTGAGGTCGAGGGAGACCTGGTTAGCACATGCAAGGGACGCGCGGATTGGCGTGGCGTGGCGTGGCGTGGGCCGGGTCGCGCAACCGTCTTCCCCTTGCAGGCCTGGCGTGCCCCAGCCCCAGAAAGCTTATTGTCGTCGTCGTCGCCCACATGACTGCGAGTAGCATACGTCAGCTGTGCCTGCCGGCGCCGAACCCTCTGCCCTTACGCCCCTTACGCCTGCTCTCCTCACATCAGCCTCGTAACGGATTATCCCACTGTGGCTGTGGCGCCATTTACCTCGGAAAAAGTAAGCATCCAAACCATGCCGCGACACTTGTTGAGGGCGAGTAGTCGATATTGAAACATGTTTTTCTTCGGTGCGCGCGTTAGCCATGCTCAACCAGCCATGCCCACGCTTCTTGGCTCCCCGACAATGAATCATAGACGCTGCCCTGCCCGCTTCCTGCTACCATCCGCCCCGCCGCGAGCCTCACGCAAAACAAAGAATGACAAACACTGACCAACAAAGACGTTGTGGTATAATGCCACCAAACGCCACGACACAAAAGTCACAGACCCAACAATGCCCCTACCACATGCAACTGTTAAACCCTTTGCCTTGCCTCGCCACACTCCAAGTCTCCTGTCTGGTTTCGCAATACCGAGCACTGCATCGCTGAGCACATGTACTTGTCCCTACACTGCATGCTAGAAATGCCAAAAGGGCGTCGACTCCGACCCCACGCTTCAAGCATAATAGACAAGAAAAAAAATACGTCAACAAAGAAAAAGGAAAGAAAAAGAGTCAAACCCAGTTGTGTACAATTACATCAAAGTTAGAGTAAGCAAAGTCTAATGCAGCAAGTTGCGAAGTGACGGACTAGCACTTGCCCCCGTGCTTGCCCGTTCAATTGGCGCCGATGTCACCACCGGAGCATCCCGCATCACCGCGTCCATAGGCGTAGCCGGCCTGCCAGTTGCAGGACTACCATGGATCCCCGGGTATTGCGCTACCGCAGGAGGCGGAGGTGCAATGAATGCGCTTTCGCGTGAGGCTGCGTGTGCGTGATGATGCGTGGGCGAGAACGGTATTGTCCTAGCCGACGGTATCGCACCATTCACCAGCATGGAGCCGTTGCCGTGGTGCAGCTGCGGTGGTCCGCTAATAGGCGGTCCCGAATACGGTGGTCGAAGCCCTGCTGCTACAATCGCCGAGTGCATCGGCGCACCCGAAAAGGCCGCGTATCCATTCGGCTGAGGCGGATACGGGGCGTGGTAAGGAGCGTTGTGGCCTACCGATGGAGCTGGTAGCGGCGGGGGCACATATCCGCTGCCATTGGGTAGGTGATGGCCAGGCCCAGGCGGTACACCACTGTGCCATGACGGCAGTGGAGGCGGTTGGTTTGGCGGACCACCGGGCAGTGTCCATGTACCAGCCAACGCAGGCGGAGGTGGTGCGTATTGTGGAATCTGCGCTGCAGGTAGGGGGTATTGTTGCGGGGGCTCTTTGAATATCGAGACGGACCTCGCTCGCTCCTCCTCTTCTTCATCCGTCCCATTCTTCCTCTTCCAATGGCATTTTTGACACAGATAGGCACCAGACGAAGCAACTGCCCCTCTGGTATCCAAGCGCAGGCTCTTGCTTGTAGGCGAAGCAACAGCTGGAGCGTCCGACATGGCATGGTCCTCACCACCGTTTCCATTGACGATTTTGCCCTCCTCGAGAAGCGGCTTCCTCTCCATATGGCCGCTAAGATCCACGGCACTCTTCATGTCCAGCGGGCCATCCACTACCCGAGAAACTTGTCCTGGTGTTACTTCTCCATCCACCTTCCACCATCGTGGACTAGCCTCAATCTTGCAGCGTACGCACTTGCGTTCAGACTTGTACACTGATGGCTCACTTGGCTCTTCCTTGACAGATATGCCTGCGTTTGATTGACGTCCTCGTGCAGAAGTGGGAGTAGGGGCCGTGACTGCGGATGCCCTACGGTTAGCTGGTGCCGGCACAGCCTGCGGAGCGATGCGCGTCGACTGATCAACGAGATTGGCCTTGCGTGCTGTGCCCGTTAGAGTGAGATCAGCCTGCTTGAATTCGCGAGCAAAGAGCTGGAGCGCAATCAGATCGGTTCCTTCCACTTCCTCGTTCATTGGATGAACAATTGTCTTGGGGGTATGCTCTTTGCACCAGATGGCCGCAATCAGGGTCCCAGTTTCCCCATTCATAGTCACTGTGGGTACTGCGTCTCTGCGGGAGACCTTGACAGGGGTCATGTCGAAACCGAGTATGTAGCCATGGTTATGAGCACAGCCAACGTGGAATGTTGCGTGACATTGGAGACACGACGTGCATGCACCCTTGGTCGTTTTGCAGAGCTTGCAGACTGCGTCGTATCGAAGCGTTGGCGCTCCAATGCCCTCGACCATATCCAGGCGAGCCGCGTTGCTGAATTTGATCTCAGCGTGCCAGAGCGCACAGTACACGTGTACCCAGTTATTGTCAGCGGTTCGCTTGAGCGGCTCACGAGGGACAAGCGGTCGGCCTTTCTCCTGCTGCCGAAGGCGATATTCCTCTTTAGCCTTGTCGACAAGCTCCTTTTCTAGCCGCTCCTTCTCCCGATCGCGGTCAGTCTTCTTCTTGTGCGTAACCTTTGGTTGCTCATAAAACTCCTGTTCAGTATCTTTCTGAGGACATAGAACACATTCGTACGTCTAAGGTGTATTAGTATAAATTCCAGTAATGTAGCAATTTGACTTACATATGAGACGCTTTCCTTCTTGTCATTCTTGCAAGGATCACAGTACCACTTATTGGCTTGTCGTGTTTCTTCAACACCATAGCAGGCTTTGTGGACCGTCATCTTGCAAGCCGCACATTCCAGACGTGTGCCTTCTACTGATCGGCATACAGCGCAGGGCAAAGCTCGATACTTGGGGGGCGACGGGACCGGAGGAGGAGTAGGCGCTTTGACGACTGGAGCAGGCTTCTCCTTCTTCTCCTTCTTCGGAACAGGCTCGCTGACAGGGGTTGACGTCCCACTGTCTCCATTCACAGCGGCCACAGTTTTCTGCTTCTTCTTTGGTGGCTCTGCAACTGGCTGGGCTGTGGCGGCTGGGAGCTCGACATACTCGGGAGTAGCATTCTTCGAGCTGGGATCTGACTGTGCAGCGTAGACCTCACGCAGAAGCTCCTCGTCGATACGTCTCTTCCAAGCCTTTCCTCCGCCTTGAGCAACCTTCTTGGCAATCTCATCAACGTTTTCCCATGTCACTGCGTACTTGCGCCACAAGTTTGCACAACGTAGACAAAGCGCAATCAGGAACCCAGTCTTGTCCTTGGAACGGCCATCCGGTGGTACCATCTGGCCAGGAGTCACTCCGGGAGCCCGTCTCCACTGCCGAGAATGTCGAACTGCACAGAACTTGCATTGGAAAACCCGTTTGCGTTGAATGGCCTTGGCACTGTCAAATGCTGAATCGTCTTGGTCGTCCGCAACATCGTCAACAAGACGAGCTTGTGCATCAGGCTCAACCTTCTTGGTCCGACCTTTCCGGCTGCTGTATGAACCCCAAATCTCTCTTCCTTTAGGCGTCTTCTTCCACATGTAGTAGTAGCGTACGGCGTCTCCGTAGAACATGGTCTTGCTCGTGTGCTGGCGGACGAGCCTGATCTCTGAACCGTACTTTGCGACACCTTCGTTCCACTTCTTTTCTTCTTCCTTGGTTAGCTCGGGCTCCCTCAAATCTTTCCGCTTGTCAATCTTCTTGACATGCTTCAAAGCAACATCGGCATCGTATTGATGTTTAGTGAAGAGAGCCAGGCATTTATCCAAGAAATTTGTGTTGTAGGGCTCTACTCCAACGTGTGACTTGGCCAATGCTTTCGCTCGGTCCATGTAAGCTTTGACCTGATCTTCAGTGACTGTCGGCGCATTGTCTTCTCCTCGTGTCGAATGTACTCCCAAAGGAGGCATCTTGAAAATCAGCTCCGCAGTACATTTGGGATCCTTGTTTGGCAGGTCTTCACCGCGGCGAACATAGCCAGGAGGTTCATCCATGACCCATTTGGGGCGCTTAGCCTTCTCCGCCTTGTCGGCTTCGATTGCAGCGACCGTTTCTTTGGATAGCTTGCCTTCTTTCTTGTTGCCTGCTGCCTTGACATATCGCTTCTTGATCTCTGCAGGCTTGACAAATTCGACAGGATGCCCGTGCCAGACATTGACGTTAGCTTGGTGCCGGGGGCCTAGCCGTGAGCTGGCACGGGGATAGATTGCTCGATCATCGTACTGCAGTGCGTCCTCTACCCGGCAATGGATGCCAAGGTACCGCATAGGCCACATCTTGGCTAGAGCGATCTCTGCCTGCGTGGCAGGATGAGTGTCGATTTGGGAATCAGGATCCGGGGTTGGTGCATTGGTGTCGACGCCGGCCTCCTCCTCTTCCTCGTCTATTACCTCTTCTTCTTCAGCATCTTCATTGGTGGTGCCCAGACGCGCCTCCAGCTTCTTCTCTTGGGCCCTACTGCATGGTCCACAAGCCCAGGCAAAACCACGGGATGGCTTCTTGAGCAATGGTGGGCGAACACAGTTCATGTGATATGTGTTGTGGCATACTGCACATTCAACCGAATCATTCCTAATCAAGTTAGCTTCATCACGTGGACAAGTTGGACTGGAAGACCTACGCTGCGCAGTATCCAATACAACGCTTGCAGCTCTTGACGGCGCTGGTTAATTCTTTGACGCGACTAGTCTCGAGACAAATGTACTTCCATCGTTCGTCGAGCGCCTTCTTGACCTTGTCTGGGACGTTGATAACCGAGGAGACGGGGATGACGTCGTACCAGCGATGAATGAAGCGATCAAAGACTTGGTTGAACCAGAAACTGTCCTTGGTCTTGCGGTACTCGTCCAGGTCGCCAATCTCGCTGCGATGCAGAATCTGGCATTTCCCCCGGAGGGATGCAATGGGGCAAAGGTCTGAGTGCATCGTCGCATAGACGAGACGAGTGTCATTGTTGTAGCGCTGCACGTCTCGTGGGCGATAGAACCAATTGACGCGCAAAGACTCGACCCGCTTCTTGGGGTCGTTGTCGACGTGGATGAATTCCATGACCCGGCAGAGGTAGTAGGGCTCGCCGGGCGGCTCGCACACAAGGTACACTTGATCTGGACGTCCAATTAGAATGCATTACTCAACCCGCAGGACGTGGCTGGCGTAACGGAGCGACCGTCAGCTGCAGCCCAGACAAAACACAACTTACCATTGACTGACACGGTCTGGCCATCGTCAGCCTCGAGGCGGCCATTTTTGAGAATGGCAGCCGTGTTCTCAAAAGTCATCATGTTGGACTCTCGCGCGCTGCTGGCGGCTACCATGGTGCCGGCAGCCTGACTGCCGCGCTTCGCCCCTGCTTGGCTTGGCGCTGTGGCACTTGCGTGACTACCATTTGCGGCACTGGCAGCAGCGTTTTTGCGCCGTTTTGTTGGGGGCTGAGGCTGCGAAGTGCTAGATTGAGTCGCTGCAGCCGTGGCTGAGGTGCTGGGAGCAGTGGGATTCGCCGCGCTGTCCTTGGTGTTGGAGCCGGAATTACCCCACGACCCATTGCCTTGTGCAGGGCCGGAAGCTTTCTTTCCACTCACACTCGAAGCATGGCCGCTGTCGGGAGCCACGGAACTACGCGACGGTGGATCAGACACGTTGCCATTCGCAGATGCCGCTGGCACTTCAAAGTCCATTTCGGCGTCCTCTGCATAATTAGGTCGCGACCGGCCTGGGCGGCCTCGCGAGCGCGTGCCATATGATGATGCTGCTGCTGCTGCTGCCGCCGCCTCACCATTCAGCTCGGGCTCCTTGGGCAATGGTTTCGTTTTGCTAGAGGCACCATTGGCCGCTTCCAGGGAAGGCTGCACGTCGTCCATGGCTGAAGACGCGTCGTCGGCGTCTGGTGCGGGTTGGCGCACCTCGAGAGAAGCAGCGGGTGTCGAGTTCCGGGTGGAAGAAGCCCTGCTAGTGGATTTTGAAGGCGCCGCTTCTGATGCAGCGCCGGGAGGAGGCTGCAGACTGTTTGGCGCGTCCTCTTGGTTGCGCGGTGATGGGGCATTAGACAGGCCTCCAGTCGTCGAGGACGGAGCCTCGCCCCCGTCCATCTTTGCGTCGGCCATGGCGAATCTTGCACGGGGTAATAGACTTGATACGAACAATGGGCCAAAAGCCGGCGTGGAACCCTCTCAAAGCAGGCGCGGGCTGTCGCCGGGGTTGTTGGTGCGGAAAAGCCCGTCCAGTAGGGATATCAACGCAGCATGAGAATGCCTATGAGCGCATACACACGAACTTGGTGGGCAGTGGGTTTAAAGTGGGCAATTTGGAGCCTGTAGACGTTTGTTCTGATGGGGCCGATGGCGAAACCAGGTAATGTTTCACGATCTGGCGGGACAAGGCGAGGCGGGGGGGAGAAGGCAGTGAAGAAGGGAGCAGTGGTTGAAGGAATTGAGAGATGGCGAGGGCGGGATAGACTCGCTGTAGTATGGGTCTAACGGTGCCAAGCATGGCCCAAGGCTATGTCCGTGGGACCTAGTTCTTTCTTACGCATATCTCTCTTTCTCATCGGTGCTTCGAGCAACAGCACCCTCGCCCCAGCGCCAACACCCTCCCATGCTGCAGTGCTGCCCGCTCCGCTCCGTCTGCTGGGGGCCCGCTGCTGATGGGCGTCTGGGGACAGCGTGGTTTTGTTGATGGGTTTTTTGTGCGTCGTTCATGTTCACACGCTTCGTCAACCCACGATCTCCACGACCCCTGTCTAATCCTCATAGCCAGCGCCCCGCTCATACGGCGATTATCTCTGCTGTTGGGCAAGTTCTCCCAGATGTCTCAGTCGTGGTGCCGCACACACGGCCAGTCTGCACAGAGGTGACAGTCCAGGCACACTGCCCAGCAGCAGTCTGTCCGGACACGACAGCCTCCCCGCCCCATCTGGCACATGCGCCCCATGGTCTGATACTGGGCTGCATCTCACAATGGGCGCCGTGTGCGCGGCGTGGGCACACTGAGGAAGGTTGAAGGAGGCGATGTATGGTGGTCTACGTACTAAATCGATTTAGCGCTCGACAGGGGTCCAACGACATCTCGCAGCTCCTTCGACAGAGTCGTGGATGGGCATGCCGCATCTTCCACGACACACGCCCATGGTCACACTTGCTGGCCAGGTTGCTGTCAAGCGCCTGCTGCTCACGCGACGGCCAAACTCATAGCGCGCCGCTCTGCTTGCTTGCTAACAATGTCTTCCGCGGCCCTGGCTAACCTGCTAAGCTTGCTCGCGTATGACTCTCTTACACACAACCACTGCCTCGGGCCACATCAGCCCGGTCTCAGACGGCCCGACCATGTTCCTCTCCAGCCTGTGTTGTGTTGAGGGCGCATGTTTAGAGCGCTCGTAGTTGTGTCGCACGTCTGTCTGCGAAGCGGTGATGCAGCCGTTCGGTTCGCGGGATTACCCAGCGGCATCACTAGAGTAGACAGGGCCCTGGCCGCCCCCTTCCAAACACCAGCCGCACGCCAGCAAATCCTCATCAGCGTCACACTGCCCGCTCCCCATTCGCCCGCCTGGCCCAGCAAAATCCAGATCGTTACCGACACTCGCTTTGTGACTACTGCCGGCCACCCACTCACAACACTGAGTGCGCCCAGGGTGCCATCTAGCCGTGAGCCTGTGCCCATTTTCTACTCAAGCACCCAACAGGGCAGAACCATGTCGGCACAAACTCACTATGCCACTGTCAACCGTTGACCGCTGGTCAAACGCATATTCGCGCGTTTCCGACACCAGTCATGATCACCGTTGCCAAAATTCAACAGAGCTTCGGATTAAAGTGCCTCGGTTGCTTGCGGAACACGCAATCGGCCTTACAAGGGTGATCCCATCACTAAGCGCCTCCAATTGCTGGCAGCTTTAACCACAGGTACAACATGATAGTGTCAAATTACTTCTCCCATGTGGGCGACGCCGACTTGGAACTTGTTTAGACTGATACCAACGATATAAAATATGTGTGCAAGTATGGACAGCGTCCCGGCTGAAATGGAAGCAGATGGAATCGTAATGGCCGTATTCGGAAACCTCATGGTCATGAGTCGACTGCGACAACCCATACACGACGAATTAGAAGCCACCTTTATGACCTTGGCAAGCTTGTCTGAAGAGATGGGAAAATTCAAGGTGCAATTAAACATCGCAAAGGACAACACATCTTCTTACAGAACAACATGCATTGTGCTATATTTGCGTGCGTCGTTCCAGGGTCAAGAACAATGTGTACAAGGAGTGGCAAATATGCTCCGGACTGCGGATATTACCAACAGGCCCTCAGGGGCAGATCAGGATGATGGCAAAGAACCATCAGCCCCAACTCCTGGAATAGGAATAGTTTGACTTGACATATTTTCTTTGCTATGAGCAGAACAAGCAGGCAGCAGCAACGTTAGAGAACGGAAAGCACTCCGGTGGTGTCGGTGACGACAAAGAGTTTTGCGGCAGGGTGCCCAATGGGTGCAGACCAGCCTCGAGGTGAGAATCATCGATTCCAAAGCATTGTGGCAAAACGATCGCTGCGAGTGCAAGTAGACGTCTACCAGCCAGACTAATATATCGGAAATACGCAATCTCTAACAGGCGCTTTACTGGTCTTATCCCGGCAGCAGACTCTGTCGACCAAAAGACTGACGGAGCCTTGTTTCCATTTGGCGAGCGACTTCCAGACATGTACTCGTTTGTGGCGCGCACGCTTCTCCTTTTCCGTTGTACTGTCCAGGCCCTGATTTCGTCACACTCAGCCCACAATCCGCACTCTGCATGAACAAATATGGTATACGAGAACAACCACTCTGGTCCAAGACTGGGCCTGCGGCAAGAGTTTTGACGTTTTATGCACACAACCAGGTCTGCGCAATAACTTGCTTTCTGCCGGGGTGTGGCCGCCACTCAAAAGACGCGGACAAGGCCGTCTCCACCACCCAGTATGATTCTGACATCAGATGACTACAGGCAATCTCATTGCACCAAAACCCAAAAACACAAAAAAACCCATTTTTTTTCTCGTCGCCTTACAGACGATATACAAGCAGTCGAACTATTTTCTCTCTCGATGTAAACAGGCATTACTTATTAGTTTATGGTCTGGATGGGGGCTTCTGATGACATGTGTGTGTCCATGTCCGAGATGATGCCGGTCTGACCTGCATTGACGCACGAGCCATGGCCATCTTATTAGCTGCGCCAGTAGCCCCAGTGTGGATCCCCGTCCACGCGACGACCCGATTTCACCCAAGCTCACACAGTCGGGCACATGTGGAGAAACAACATGATGATTGAACTACGCAAGGCACAACCGACAATCAACAACCGACAATCAATTGAATTACTACAAAAAACAGCCCTTTGAGTGATTGGTTTATCAAACAGACAAAATGGCTATGCTCGTATTAAACCTCGACCCCGGCGATCGCTTTGATCGCCTTGATCGTCCATGCGTTTGAGAAACATCCGGCAATTGCAAAGCGTAGCGCGTCACCCCGTTTACAAAGCGAAAACAGCGAGGAGACCGGCAAGACCAGCACCAAAGAATTGGACAGAGGTCTTGTCGGCTGCGCCAGCTGCGGCAGTAGACGAAGGCCGGCCAGCAGATCCAGAGGCAGATCCAGAATGAGAGCCAGAAGGAGAGCCAGATGGGGACGACTCGGATCCTAGTATACGATTAGCAAAATGATCGTTACAGACAGAATCGTAAGAGTGGCTTGCAACATACCGGTAGGAGTGGGCGTAGCAGAGTTGGCGCCGGTACCAGCAGCAGCGCTGGAAGGAGCGTCGCTGGGAGCAGCGGCACCAGCACCCGCGGGACTATCAACGAATGCGGTCTGGCTGCTGGGGAAGTGGTCGGTGATGCAAGTGTCGACACACTTGGAGTAGGCTTCAGTGGCCGAAGGAGAGCCGTCGCCCTGGTCGCACTTGGCGGCGCACTCGTTGGTCTCGATGACCTGGGAAGCGTTGGGGCGAGCGTTGCCCAAGCATGCGGCCTGGCAGTTAACGTCGCCAGCCTCGCAAGCCATAGCGCACTGGACAGCGGATGAGAGCGCAGTGGACGCGGGCGCGGAGGATGCGGAAGTGCTGGTGATGCTTTGGGCCGAGGCGCCAATGGCGAAGAGGAGGACAGTAGAGTACTTCATGGTGTCGTGTGGTTGCGTGTGGCGTAAATTAGTATGTGTAAGTAGCAATTAGCGAGCGTGGATGCTGGAGCAGTATGTACAGCCAAAAAGAAACGAGTGTGGGCGTGTGCAACGAGAATCTGGGGCAGCAGGCCTAGCTTTTATTGTGCCTGAGCAAACCCAGCTATTACATAGGGGTATAGCGAGTCACGCTCTCGTAGCCCTTTTATTAGCTTTGACTATACCGAGGTGGGTATCGGCCATCGGCCCGACAGCACGATACGAATGCACGTCGGTAGAACCTTACAAGTGGGAAACCGCGGCCGTTACAGGGGTCGGCCTGCCTTTCCCTATTCATCTTACTTTACCATACGCGCTAAACACCGACGCGTCGTGCCTTTCACCTCAACGCCGCTGTCAAACCTTGCTGCCTCGGCCGTCAACTACCATGGATGACAGTGACAGCGACGACTACGGCGATGAGTTTGATGACACCGAGTTCCTGAACGTCGCCACCCAGGCTGAGGAGGAGACTGCGCGTGCATTTCGTCCTTCGCCACGGTCCGTCAAGCGGCAAAGAGCCCGCAGTACGACCAAGCGAGCAGCATCCAACTCTACCAGAGCACAAACCAACCGTCGCAAAGGCCCTTTTGTATCTTCTGATGACGGCAAGGACACCAGTGAAGAAGATGGCCATGCATTGTCCGAACCAGACAGCCCAAGCCTGTCGCCCCCTCAAAAAGCCGCTTCCTCGAGTCGTAGGAAAAGAGCGACATCAAGATCTTACGAAAATGACATTTCTGAAACAGATTCTGCATCACCCACAAAATCCACAACAGCCAATAAGCGGCAGGAGCGCATTCACATTCCAACTACAAATATAGACCTGCCAGACGTCTTCTATACGCAGCCGCCACAGGAACACTCGCCACCCTGGAAACCAAGAGGTGCAATATGGGCAAAGCAATCCACCACCATAGGTGTGCACAAACCACCCAGGCCAGTCAAGGGGCCCGAATTAGATGCAACCAGGACCGTGTCTCTGCCGGGTAGAAAGTCGATATCGTCTCGGCCAGTACCACAAGCACCGCCATCTCCAGATGTATTCGATTCGACTATCGACATGGATGAGTTCCCTCAATTACCAGTCCGGGCAGAGCGTACGGGAGGTGCTGTTATTGCTGAGTATGACTTCACACAAGATCTAGCAGACCTTCCGTCTGATGCATTCGCTTCTTCTTCTTCGTCGTCGTCGTCTCCGCAGAAGCAAGCTGAGCCTGAAACTGCTAGTGCTCACAAGCGTCCTGTGGCACCTCAGAATGGCCTACGACAGACGACGCTGTTTGGATCTGTTGGCGCCAGCAGTAGTACATCGCAGTCTCAGGTAAACAAGCGTTACAGCTTCGTCGTTGACCAGAAAGCAGAGCCTCCAACTCATCACAAGCTGGACCCAGAAGCCATCAAAACATGGGTTTATCCGACAAATTTGGGTACCATTCGAGACTATCAGTTCAACATTGTTCAAAGAGGCCTCTTCAATAATCTGTTGGTCGCTCTCCCTACTGGTCTTGGAAAGACCTTTATTGCGGCGACTATTATTCTCAATTGGTTCCGATGGACGATTGACTCTCAGATCGTCTTTGTCGCCCCCACTAAACCTCTGGTAGCCCAGCAAGTTGAAGCCTGCTTCAAGATTGCGGGTATACCCCGCTCATACACCACAATGCTCACGGGAGGCGTACAAACAGGCTTAAGAGCTAAAGAGTGGAAGGAAAAGAGAGTGTTTTTCATGACACCACAGACGCTCTTGAACGATTTGAAGGCTGGATATGCGGACCCAAAAAAGATTGTGCTACTGGTGGTCGATGAAGCTCACCGAGCCACGGGTGCATATGCGTACGTCGAAGTCGTTAGCTTCCTCCGACGTTTCAATAGTAGCTTTCGCGTCTTGGCACTGACAGCCACGCCTGGCGCAGATGTGGAGTCCGTGCAGAAGGTCATTGACGGCCTCGACATTTCCAAGGTGGAGATTCGGACAGAGAACTCTATGGACATATGCAGCTACGTACATCAGCGCAAGATTGACAAGCAGGTTTTTCAGAATACAGACGAAATGGAGATGTGTATGGACCTCTACAGCGAGGCTCTGCAGCCCTTAGTGAACACAATTGCTGGTCTGAATGCGTACTGGAGCAAGGACCCCCGCGATCTAACACCCTTTGGCTGCCAACAAGCCAAGAAGAAGTGGTTCCAAGAAGCCGGACGTAACGCAAATCGGGGCCTCCAAAGCACTGTGCACACAATCTTTGCGATTCTTGCGTCTATCTCACACGGAATGGATCTATTGAAATTTCATGGTGTAGGTCCTTTCTATATCAAGATGAAGGAATTTCAAGACGAAAGTGCAAAGACAAAGTCAAAATACAAGAAACAGATTCTCGACAGTGATGCCTGGAAGAAGCTTATGGGACGTCTTCAAGTGTGGATGGCCGATGAGAACTTTGTTGGCCATCCGAAGCTGGAATATCTACAGCAAGTCGTGTTGGATCACTTTATCAATGCAGACGATGGTCAGGGCGTTAATGGTGCAGCCTCTTCACAAACGAGGATCATGGTGTTTGCACATTTCCGTGACAGCGCTGAAGAAATCGCGCGCATTCTGAAGAGACACGAGCCAATGATTCGTCCACGCATCTTTGTCGGACAAGCACACGGGAAAAACTCGGAGGGCATGAAGCAGAAAGACCAATTGGATGCTATTGAGAGATTTAAGAATGGTGAATTCAACACACTCATTGCTACCTCAATCGGCGAAGAGGGTCTTGACATTGGTGAGGTAGATCTCATTATTTGCTACGATTCGAAAGCATCGCCTATCCGTATGCTGCAACGAATGGGTCGTACGGGAAGAAAACGCGAGGGAAGGATTGTCATGCTCCAAATGCAAGGCAAGGAAGAGAACGATGCCAACAAGGCAAACGATAGTTACCTCAAGATGCAAGAGCTCATTGCTGCGGGCACTCATTTCAACTTCCACGACGACATATCTCGCAGAATTCTGCCGGCGGATGTAAAGCCCGTTGTCGACCGGCGTATCGTAGATATACCAGTTGAAAATTCCCAACACGACTGGCTTCCAGAACCGAAAACAGGACGACGTGCCAAGAAGCCGGAGAAGAAGTTTCATATGCCCGATAATGTCATCACTGGCTTCGTCACTGCAGGTCGGATGGACGAGGAAATTGTGCCAAAAGGCCGTGGAAAGAAGGCGGCCGCACCTATTTACCCAAGTGAGGAGACATTCATAATACCTTCATTGGAGTCGGTACTTCTCAACGATGAAGCAATCCAAGATCTTGAAAGAAGGTACCAGACGGTATTCGACGACGACGATGCTCCTATGGTCGATGTACTCGACTTTGGGAAATACCCTGAACGACAGCGGATCTTGCCCTACTCAGCTCGCCGGGTTGGCCCAGGGTATGCTACGCGAGCATTTGCTTCCATGATGCAACGCATGCACAACATGGACCACAATCGTCTTGATAGTTTCAAACTCAATCTACACTTTTCCGACTGCGAATCAGACATTGGGGACGATCTTGTTGTTCCGGAACCAGAACCCGCACTCGTCATTGACGACGACATGTGGGAAGATGATCAACCCGCTTCCCAAGGACTTAAGAAAAAGGCAAAATCTGTGCCAAAACCAAAAGCGAGTGCGTCAGCAAAGCCTCAGGAGAAGGCGATATCAAAACCAAAAGAAAAAACGATGCCAAAGCCGAAGGAGAAACCTTTGCCAAGAGCGATAGAGAATGTGGCCCCAAAGACACCACAAACCCCAGCACCTCGTGGTCGGCCACATAAGGTTAGTGCTGTCACACAGACCCCTGTCCATCAGTCAATAGCGGAGGACGAAACCCCAAGGACAAAAACGCCTAATTGGCGTGTATCTGGACTCGCTCAAGAGGGCAATGAATCCTCTCCGCCACCAACAGACCCTCGATTTCGAGTTGCATCTCAAGCTGATACGATTGGATCTGATGACACATTAGGCGAGGATGAACCGCAAGATACACAGGCATATTTGTTAGACTCTGAGCTTGCCAGCTTCATTGTTGAAGGAGAGGAAGAAGAGGTAGCTCCAACTTCGAGCCTACCCAGTCTTGACCTTTCTGGCCTCGGAGCAGGAACCCAGGCAGTTGTCAAGGCCGGCCGCCCTAAGAGGACCCCGAAACGACAGAAGATCTTTACAAGCGACGCTACGGACGATGACGCGGTGGTCAGTAGTGATAGCGATGACGACGCACCGCTCGCTAAACCTGTGGCAGGTGCGGGTAGGAAGCAATTGGTCGTTATAGATTCAGCTTCGGAGCTAGAGGACGATGAGCCTGTCTTTCCCAGGAAGAGAGCTAGACGGATAATTGATGATGATACAGACGATGAATGAATCAACCAATATGACCGGCACTTGCTGGTCTGTGGTTGGAAATAATGTAGATTTGCAGGGATTGTTTATAACACCAACTTCTTACCCGATAGAGTAACCAATCCTACAACTGATACCCCAATGCTTTTTCGTAAATTTCAGGCGAATTGCTTCCAATACTCTGGTTCAAAGGCGTCCATGTTCTGCGTAAAAGGCTCGCCAGCCTTGACCCAACCTTTGATGCCACCAGCCAAGGTCAACGACTTGATTTGGTCATCGCCCTTTTCGGCAATGTAATCTGCGAACCAGCCCGAACATCTTGGCCCTCTCCCGTTAGATGAGCCTGGCGTGTCTCAGCCGACATTTACTATGATTTGTGCACGCGTATGTATTCGTATTTCAGCAAGGTAGGCCTTCATGGTGGTATGCAGCTCACGCCACTCGCGCCTTTTTTTGCATGCAAGCATCACGGTGAGACAAAAATGATAGACTCACCGCAGTAAAAAGCAACTCTGGTGACGCCGGCGCGCCTGCACAGATCGTATAAGACACCCCTGTTCAGGTAAAACGAATGTGCAGGTAGGTTGATGCTTCCTCTTATCGTGCCACCTTCATAGTCGGTGCGCCGCACATCTACGATGAGGAGATGGGGAGACGAGAGATCTGACAAGACCTCATCGCGTGATATGGAGGGCGCAGTAATACGGGGAGCGGGGAAGGCGTCGGTCCAACTACCAGAGGGTTGCTGTGTAGTTTCGGCCATGGTTTGGACAAGGACGAAGCAGGCGGGACAAGAACAATTTGTTATCTCTGGTTGTTTTGTGCGTGTGTTGGTGCGTTTGATATTTGCTGCGTTTCACCCAAGCAGCGGTGACAAAGAATGGACCGTCTTTGCCTCACGTCTTTGGCCCCTCTGGGTACCTTGCAAGGGTCGGTCCATCAGGGTCCACCGCCACACTCTGCTAAGTAATAGGCCACATTGCTACAAGCTGCAGTGGCCCCATCAACGTGTGATTAGAAACCATGAGCCGGGGTATGAGTTTAATATATTATACTCGCTCCTTCTGCGTCCGGCTCTTCCACCCTTTGTGGGTTTCGGGCCAAGATCGGTGTCTGGTCGAGATTTAATCTGCTTCGAGTCTGAAATTCCCAAACAGAGCATAAGCCGCACCGCCACAGCCAGGATCCTCGCTGGGATAATCGTCCTCTTTGATACCTACACGCTGGCCTCTTCGCATTCCCCACACGATTCATCGGCCGCTAATTTCCCGGGGGGCCTCATATACTCGGGATACTGTGAATTGTGAGTGTGGCATCTACACATATCGCGGAGACACCTGTTGCAAACGTTTGCTGACCGGAGGACTAGTAGTGCGACCGCAGTTACACCACAATGCGCTCAGCGGCGCATGTTTTCTACCTGACAGTCTTTGCGCTATTGGGTAGTACGCACGCTGTAGACCATGCTACGCCTTCAAAGGCGCATAGTCCTCCTCCAAACGTTTGCGACGTAAGCAATCCGTCTTCATGTACACCGACTCGAGCCCAGGGCCAGAGTGCTAAACCTACATTCCAGATATCGCCTGGAGCCATAGTATCAGACGCTTGCGCAAGCTACAGCACCCTCGAGCAGCTAAACGATGCCATACAGCCCTACCTCCAATCCATTACCCAAAATACCGACTTCTTCTCACATTACCGGTTAAGCCTGTACAGCAAGAAATGCCCGTTCTGGGACGACGAGAATGGCATGTGCGGGAACGTGGCATGCGCGGTCAATACGCTAGACAATGAGGAGGACATACCGCTGGTTTGGCGCGCAAAAGAGCTGGGCAAACTCGAGGGACCGACGGCACAACATCCGGGGAAGAAGCAGCAGAGGGAAGAGCCCAAGCGGCCGCTACAGGGAGAACTGGGGGAGGATGTCAACGAGAGCTGTGTGGTCGAGTACGACGATGAATGCGACGAGCGCGACTACTGTATACCAGATGATGAGTCGGCGACTGCCAAGGGCGATTACGTCTCACTCGTAGACAACCCAGAACGTTTCACCGGATACGCAGGTGTTGGAGCCCAGCAGGTCTGGGAGGCTATATACCGCGAAAACTGCTTTAGCAAGCCTCCAAAGAATGCACCAGCGACCGGCGGATCGTCTCCACACAACTCGCCTTTTGGCGCCTTTGGGAACCAGCAACAGATGCAAGCGGCTAACCAGCTCCGGAACGTCATCCAAGAGCAGGGCCAAAAGCAAAAGTTCCAGTCTGCCATCGCTCATGGATCGCCCGTAAACAGCCTTGATCCTGTTGAATTCGACGATACCTGCCTGGAAAAGCGCGTCTTCCATCGTGTCATCTCGGGCATGCACGCATCCATATCTACGCACTTGTGCTGGGACTACCTCGACCAGAAGACCGGTCAGTGGGGACCTAACCTGACATGCTATGAAGAGCGCCTCCACAACCACCCGGAGCGCATCTCCAATGTCTACTTCAACTATGCCCTCGTCATGCGTGCAGTCGGTAAGATTAGGCAGCACATTTCCGACTACTCCTTCTGTTCCGAGGACCCTGAGCAAGATCTCCGCACCAAAAACTCTGTCCTTCGTCTTGCCTCGGCGCTCCCCTCTGGACCCGAGATTTTTGACGAGACAGTCATGTTCCAGGATCCCGACACCGTGGCCCTGAAAGAGGACTTCCGCAACCGCTTCAGGAATGTAAGCAGAATCATGGACTGCGTTGGTTGTGACAAGTGCCGTCTTTGGGGCAAGCTCCAGACCAACGGCTACGGAACAGCGCTCAAGGTGCTTTTCGAATTCGACGAGCACGATTCTTCCAAGGACCCGCCGCTTCGCCGCACCGAGCTCGTCGCCCTCGTCAACACCATGAACCGGCTCTCGCACTCTCTATCCGCGATCAAAGAGTTCCGCCGCATGATTGACGAGCGAGAAGGTGTAGCCAAGGGCGCTGCATCCGCGGTCCCTAAGACCGATGAGGGCGTCTTGAAAACGAAGCTCGCGCTGGAAGAAGCCAATGAGGCGAAGCCCATCAACGTGCTCACCGGCGATGAAGAGATTCCGTCGTTTGAACGCGATTGGGATGCAAGGAACATGTCGGCGTGGGACGAAGTCAAGGCAGAGTTCAACCTCGTAAAACGCACTGTTTACTACATTTTGTACCAGTGGACGCAGGTTCCAGGAAGATTGTAAGTGCATATTTATCTGTTCCTACACACGCACACGCACACGCACATGCGGTGATTGAGGACGTGTTCTTTGTTGTTGTTGTTTTTTCAGGGAAGAAATGGCATGCTAACGAAAAACAAATAGTACCAAGATTTTCATTCTTGAGATGCGACGCTTGTACAATTGGTGGATGGGCTTTGTTCCCGGTCCCAAATCTTGGGAAATTCGTATTCCCACCCGTGATGAGCTTTGAGAACCTTTCTCAATATTTCTCCTCTTCTTTTTCTTTTCCCTTAACGAAATGACAATCGTCTGTGTGTGTGTGTTTAGGTAAATTCGTAGAAAGATCATTTTCATCTTTGTTCTGCATAGCTCAGGCGTTTATTTCTGGGGGGGAGGAGGGTTCTTTCAAATAAGGTTTATAACCATAACAATCGACCCTTTTTTCTCTCATGCCTTCAGATTTCGGAAATCACGGGTTCGTTGTTGTCAAGGGCGAGGAGGGTGGGGGGGCATTTGGGTGGGGAGTTATGGAGTCTTTTTTTTTCATTTAGATTTTTTTTATTATACGTTCCATGAACTACGAAAACCAGTATCATCTCTCTCCCTCTCTGGTATATACTCTTCTTCCACGTGTTGCAAGTGCAAATATTCCCAATCATCAGCACTACTCGGCTTAATTACATACCGACGACGACCTCGTACTAAACCCGCTCGATATGCCCTCATCGGCCCGGATACCTCTCCCTTTCACAGACCTTACGTCATGACCACCTCCCCCCCCCTCTCTCTCTTTATCACCCGGAGGGGGGAGGGGAGAACCCACGATACCCCCCACCCCTTGTTATCCGCCCAGGGTTTGGTCCAGCATAATGTCCCCCTTTGTCCAACTAGTAAGACAGACTAAAAGAAAGACAAGACGGGCCAACCCTCCTACCCATACTCTGACCGTCGTGCGCTCAAGGACCCCCCCTTCTCCGCGCGCTTCCTATTCGTGAGACGAGATAGACAAGCTTTGTTCCAAGAGTACACAAGAAGTGCGCCTGTTTTCGATGGGTTACTGGATTTGGTAGGTTTTGGGGGGTGTTGCTTGGATGGGTGGGCAGGGTTGAGAGTGAAAGAGAGAGAGGGCAGGCCAGGGGGGGGGGAAAGGTGCAAGGGTGGGTGAGGTGCGGGTGTGTTTCGTGAATTGGGTAGTAGATACTAGGGGAAGGTGTGGCGGGATTGTTGAATTTGGGGGGGAATTTATTATATTTTTTTATCTTTGTTTTTTTTTCTATTCCATTTTTTAGTATTATGTAGAGGGTTTGGTGTGGTGTCGGATGCACGTGTGAGGTATCGAAGCGTATGCAATTTGGGTTATCTGCAATGTGCTCATTTAAAGTAACCACCTACGTAAACTACACCTACTACTGTACATACTACATCCTCGGAGCCCCACGCAACTCGTAATCCACTGTACTAACAATGAGATAACCACCACATCACATCCTCGAGATAAGAGGAGGTGAAAAAAGCTTTTGTCGGACTCGGGAAGAGGGGAAGTTAGAGCGGGCGCGGGTAGTTGGGATCGGGGAGTGGAGAAGGGGAGAGGAGGGAGGGGGTGGCCATGTTTTGAATGAGGAGAAGCTACACGCCTATTTTCAATGCCTACTCAATCCAGTATAATCACCAAGCCTTTTCCTTCGTATCCTGCTCTACTTTTACTCTTCGTGGTTAAACATAAAGCAAAGCCTGGTATTCGGCATCTCTGAAGTTTTGCCTTTTCCAAGTTGATTTTGGTCTTCGGGACACGTGCGTCATTTCTTTTCCTTTGCACTCCACTTGCGGAAGCCAAGACTTCCCGAAGATGTAACTGCAACCGTGCTCTTCCCTTCTTCTTTCTGCTCGGTCCTCTCTTTTGGGTGTTTTTTATTTCTTTTTTCAGAGATTGGGTGGAATGGTTTAATTTAGGGCTGGAAGTGCTGGCCGAAAATATGCAAGATAAAGCGAAGGAATACGCCTACTTTTCATGGCTGCCGTTCTGGGTAAGCCAAGGTGTACACCGTGCTTTTGTTTTTGGGCGGCGCAAGTTGACGTGTATCAACCGCGTGAGACGTGGCTGCTGCAATGAATGTTTTGCGGTGTATGCTGGCAACAGTGCTGATTCCGTGGCTTTTTGCATCTATTTTCTGCAGACGACATACATGCGTATATATGGTATTGCAGCATTTCTAATGTTCCATGTACAAAAATAATATATGTACGTATACATGACATCTGCACATGCCAGATGCGCTCAAAATTCCCCGACAAAGTCCAGAAGCCCTCCCGCGAGTCAAGTCGGAGAATTTGATACTAACATTGTCCCGACCAATGTCCAACGTCGCATATGCCATGTCATGGTGCAGCAAAAAAGCAACATGATCGTCACAACATGGATACCGATCGTCACAGGCTCCGCTAGCATGACTACGCAACGAAAGAGGCTCTGTACGCCTATTTTCCACACCTGCCTGGCGCAGTAAACTCCTCACCAAAAAAACCGCTTTGCCCGCTTTTTGATGTTTGGTGAGAAGCCAAGTTTGACAAGCCAGGAGCCTCTTTTCTACACCTACCTAACGCAGTAAACTCCTCGCAAATAAAAAACCGCTTTGTCCGCTTTTTGATGTTTGGTGAGAAGCCAAGTTTGACAAGCCATGAGCCTCTTTTCCACACCTACTCCTTTGGGTAAAAACACCAGAGATTTGACGGTAGTAAGTCGGTGATTTTTTATCGACGTTTCGCCATACACACCATGCACACCCGTACACGAGACCATTTCTAACGACCTTGTTAATCTTTCGTTCGAACAGATAGACAGATAGAGAGAAAGCAACACGAGCCCCCAATCCTGAATTTAATCTACTTTTTAATTCCCATTCCCCCCAAAACTTTATTGCCGTCACGTGTACATACAGAGTGGAAGAGTAGCAAAAACCCTCCCCCTTTCCAGCCACATAACGTGCCCGTCATCCCGAAAACGAAACCATCAGAAAAGACAAGCTTTTCCTACGTAACTACCAAGCACGCGCCCTATTTTCGACGACTTCCTCAAAGAGGAAATTTCCTCAAGGCCAAGATAAGCGCCTACAATCCACAGTTACTCATTGCAGCAAAAAACCACCGTGCCCACCCTTGCTCTCATCCGTGCGTCTCGTTTCTGCATCATATGTGCGAGACGGTCCGCGTGTCAAAGTTACCCTTTGAGCTTAATTTTTCTTCTTTTCCAACTTGGCTGTCCCGTGTTTCCGCTGGAAGAATAGGCTGTTTGGAGACGAATCAAAAGTGCCGAAGACGGGGGTTGATTACTACTTACTGGTGTACTAACTAACCGGTGTGACTGGTCCTTGGTATTCCCGTGGTGTGTCCGAGGGGCACGCGCGCAGCGCACGCCCATGTGTGTGCACAGCGGATATCTGCATACCCTGTTTTATTTTGCTTGCCCTGATTACAATTTGAGCGGGGTGGTGAGAGACTTAATATAACCATTTGACGCCTGTTTTCTACAGTTGCTGTATTCGGTAAGATGGGGGGTGAAGGTGGATCGGCAGGTAATATGCGAACTCGGGGATTTTCTGGGGTGGAGATGGCTTGATGACGTAGGAGGAGTTTCGCGCGTGGTTCGTGTGCGGCGGTGGTGGTGCAGAAAGGGGGAGATGACGCAGATGGGTACTTTTAGTGCCGCCATGGGCGTCGTAGGTGTATATTGCCGAGTCGGGGTGGCGTGCAAGGTGCATGGGCTGAGGTGTGGTGTTATCTGTCTACGGTACGGATCTCATATGCTATATACAACGTTCACTTGTATCTGGCTCTGCTTTGCTCATCCGTTGTAGCTGGGAACCTCTTTATCTAATAAGAGGCACCTTGCAAGAACAGTAGCATGTTCATTTGGGAGGTGGGGTATACCATGCGCCTCCCCTGCCGTTGTTGAAGTACTTCGAGCCCTGGTCTTACATCAGTACACTTCCACACCACCGTTCCTCCTGGGCCTACGTTGGAGTTGCTGTAATAGTATGAGCCGTCCCTGTTAGAGTAGTGGTAAGGATTCGAGTTTGTGTCGCTGGGACCAGATTCACGAGTGCACCAGTGGTTTCCCTGAACAACGTGGTCAGCACGATGGTGAGTGATCCGAGCGGTCCGGGGACTTGCCTCATTGTTGATGCCGTGGTTGGTCACGTTAGAGCTCGTTCTACCAGAGGAGCTGAAGCCGGAGCTTGATGAAGCTTTCTGAGATGACATGATGAACGGTGTACTTAGTCCTGTCTCTTGATATTCACTTTCGAAATGTGAGTTGTAGAGCTAGTCTAGAGTAAGCAGGAAGAGATGAGGGGAATGCGACATGCCTCAGCAGTATAAATACTGTCTTAGTTTGCACAATTACGGTTGCCATGACAGGGTGACCCTTGCTTTATTCGGCTTCGTAAGATTCGCCTCGTGGATCGCTGCTGCTTCACGAGATTTGGCAAAAGCAGAGGCAGGTTGCACTCGAGAAATTGTTGCAAGAAATTGGGAGCGTTAAGTTTTGAGCTACTACACAGGCAACTGAAGTATCAACGTTTGGAGTGGAACACCAAAAGAAAACTGTTTTATCGCGAGATAGATACCTGGAGGCTATGCCTGATGAGCGACCTTATCGCGCCTCCCTTCCCTTGTGTCCTCATTGTATGAATCTGATGGCTTCCCTGGGTGGTATATTGATGTCTGTAGAAACTGTTAGAGAAACTGATTTTGGTATAATGCTGGGGCCATTTCGTATATGTAGTGTGTTTGCTTACGAGGTGCTGTGTCTTATCTCAGTGGCAAGCTCTCCGAACTAGGGGAAGTGGCTAGTATTCATTTTTTGGTCGCTTGCCAAATTGTTTCCGCGACCGTTTTGGATTGGATGTCGAGCTGGTAGATGCGGATGGCAGCGTGTCGGTCGTGACAAGCGGGGGCATATCAGCGAAGTCAAGGTCTTGCATTAGGCGATCTTCCTGACGCTTTTTATTTCGAGGAATAGTAACCAAGACATTGTGGGCAACGACAAGTGCCATGAAGAGAACAAAGGCGATGACGATGACGACGCAGATGAAAATGAGGAGCATCAGAAAGAGATGGATGACACTGACGCTAGTCTCGACCAAGGTCATTGGCCACTTGCTGGTCATTGAGTAGCTATCAGCCATGTCGACAATGTGCTTGAGAATGGTTGAAAAAAGGTGTTCTGCAATTGTGAGAAGAGTCGACAAGTAGTGGAGGAAATGGAGCGGCAAATGCGTAGTTGTGTTTGCTTGGCCTTTGGGTCACGCGATTTGAAGGAAGTGACGGCCAACAGCGTGTGCTTGATTTCTGAACGCGACATATTGGTTTACTATGTATGCTTTGATGCCAACAAGATAGATGTGAATACTATTGCACAAAAGTTGGAAAACTGCAAAGATGGACCAGTGTTTCCGATAGTCATTTGCATTAAACTCGCGCAGTTTCCACTGCAATTATCATGGAGGGACATGTCAACTCGGACTATCCGCTTTCCTTCGTGATACACTACTCGACCGTGAACGTCCATTACCCCATGTGTTCAAACTCCGTATGTTCGCAGGAAAAGACAATATCTAACTTTTTACCACTACCCGATTATATTACCGGGACCCAAAGCTATCAGTCAAGTCATGCTGCAAGTAGCCATATGTGATACATAGGCCGCGTCGATAAAGAAAGGCACCTGTGATGTCAGTGAACAAGTTGTGGGAAGGATCGATGTTGGCTTACCTTGAAGTTTTTGGACGCTTTTAGGCCTCTGCGATCATCTCCTCATCAGACCCGATCGCATCGATGTCTGCGGAGTTCTCAGCCTCGCCAGGCTCAGACTTGATAACTACATGGAATCAGCATTGCAAGAGTTGCATGGCGTGTCTGAACAAGCACTCACCTTCTTCTTCTTTAAGAGCCGCATTGCCACGAGCAGGCTTCTTCTTAGGCGAAGAATCGCCGTCGACCTCCTGTTTCTTGGAGGCACGCTTGCGAGGTGTGGCCTTGGGGGTGGCATCTCCATCGGCTTCGTCACCCTCTTTCTTGGGGGCAACAGCCTTCTTAGCACGAGGAGCCTTCTTTGGAGTAGGTGGAACAGTGCCATCGGAAGCAGGGGTTATCAATTTGACTTTGATCTTGGCCCAGGCGTTGCTGGCAGAACGCGGGTTGCTCATGCCAGCAAAGGCAGCAAGTTTGTCGTAGTCGATCTTTTAATAAGAGTGAGCATGTTGTAGGAAGAGGGCAAGCCAAAGATCTTTCTCGAAACAAAATCGCAATCACATACCTCTGGAGGACCAGACTTGAGTGACTGCATAGCCCAACCCAGGAGTTGGAGCTCACGCTCGGTGAACTGGGGAGCAGAGCCATTGGCACTAGTGGTCTTGTCGGTGTCAGACATAATGTTGATGTTGATGTTGAAGTTGAGTGATGCCTTGAGAATGTTTGTGTGATATGGAAGAAGTGGAGAAGTATAGAAGTGCAGAGGTGCAGGTGGACATTAAATATGTCTGAGGAGGCCCGCTAGTGCGGTGATGTCGTTGACAGGCAGTGAAGGTGAGTGCACTGTGGTGCTGCAGAAGGGCTACATATGCCCACCAAAAATGCAGACTCACCTCTATGATGACTGTGAGAGGCTCATTAATGCCGCACATGGTTGCTTGGGTGACTATGGGCGCACTGGCGTGCAAAGTTTGCAGGCAGAGTGAAGGTGAGATGCCTTCGTTTGCATCCGCATTTGGTAGCATGCAAGATGACAGAAGGGATTCATGCATAGTTATTGTTGCAAATTACTGCAAATTACTACAAATTACTACAAACTACTGCTCATTACTGTAGTTTGTCGAAAACAGGTCTCGCATAGTAAATTCAAGACGAATGTTCTACTCTACTCGCTCTGCTCACGAGGCATGTTATTGGTGCGGGAGGCAAAACCCCTAGCATGTTATTGAGTCGTAGAGAAAGCAAGAGAGAAGAACTACCCAGGATTAGCGCGATGATTACTTGTGGTATGGTGTTTAGCTGCACCTCTCTTTCTTGCATAGCAGTCTCTGTCTTCTGGTGGATAGTGAAGAGCGCGATTGCCGCATGGTGAATGAGTAAATCGCAGCTGCCACCAAGGCCATGGTACTGGAAACCTTGAATACAAATAACACTACTAGTTCCAACGCTATCCAAATTCACAAATGTCAAAATCGAAGCAGAGGTGAGGTTGTCCACCAGAGGTCGTGACCATGAGCTACCCCGGCGGGCATGCGCATGACTCGCGGGAGCAGCGCCCAATCCAAGCGGGCGAATCGCCGGGGCTCGAGACATTCGAAGGCGTTGGCACTCGTCGACAATACTCAAGCAACCCGCCCTTGACCACGCCCGCCTTTTTCCTGGCCAAGCACAGCAAAATGGCGGATCCCATTGATAGCGCTCTGTACGTCATTCTTTCTTTTGCACGCGCACTTGCCTTGCTCTTCTTGCTAACATAGCTCCAGCGACCTCCTCCGCCGGCTGGACCCCAAGGACGTCAAGCGCAATGTCGACCACATTATCCAGCTCAATCCCTCGCTCGAAGAGGACCTACTCGAGTCGGTCGATATTCCCCTGACAGTCAAGAAGTGCTCAAAGACGAAGCGCGACTTTCTGTGCTGCGACTACAACCGCGACGGTGACAGCTGGCGCAGTCCGTGGAGCAACGAATTCGAGCCGCCCATTGACGAGGGTGTCACGCCTAGTGATCGTGTCCGTAAAATGGAGGTCAAGGCAAACGAGGCTTTTGACGTCTACAGAGAACTGTGAGTTGCATGCGGGGGTGGGGACGTGGCTATGGCGGGGTCGTGCTAACTGACGCGGGCAGGTACTTTGAGGGTGGAATATCCAGTGTTTATCTGTGGGATATGGACGATGGCTTTGCTGGCTGTGTGCTGCTGAAAAAGTGTATGCATGCCGCCTTGGATCCGCGTTGCTGAGTAGACACTGACAGACAGACAACAGCCGTCAGCCCCACCCCGAAGAGCTCTGGCAGCTGGGACAGCATCCACGTCTTCGATGCCCAAGATCGCGCTAGAACATCGCACTACAAGCTTACATCGACTGTCATCCTTTCCCTCGGCACCGACAGTGAAGCACTCGGCGGCCTCGACCTCTCCGGCAACATGGTACGCCAGGTTGAAGCCGACATGGCCGTTGAGGATGACACCTCGCACGTCGCCAATATTGGCAAGATGGTCGAAGACATGGAGCTCAAGATGCGCAATCTGCTGCAAGAGGTCTACTTTGGCAAGGCTAAGGATGTTGTTGGAGATCTACGGAGTCTTCAGTCGCTCAGCCAGGCCAACAAGGACCGTGCCACCCAGAGGGAGATGATCAACAGCATGGGCAGGTAGGCATAGTAAGGCACATGGTGACGACAAGGTGGACAGGTGCTACACGTCATAGATGGAATCGAATAAATACCAGCTTGAGGGCAACATGAGGTGTTGAGTCCCGTGACCCAGATGAAAAGCCTCTTCAAACATTGTTTTGTTTCTCTTCACTTTACTTGTGAAAATGTGTTGTACGTTATTTGCACTGGACCGTGAACACCGAGTCTAATTTAGAACCGGCTGAGGCGGCTTACCTGGACGCTCGCGAAAGATCAAAGACGCGAGTATTCCCGAGCCAAAAGTCGACTACATCATGGCATTCAGCTGAACGTACGATATGTGCAGTTCGACCTGAGCGGCTGCATCTATAGACCTCGCTAATCTCTCGCTGTGGCCACTCCGAGAATCCCCCGCTGCGCCGCAATACCACACCAACGCCAATATATTACAAGTCACTGGTTCCAATATTCCAAGACATGTACAATGAACTAAACAAAGCCACTGGCAGCGTGTTGCATGCGAGGCTCCATCTAGACGCTGGTGGTCATTGGACTATCACTCCACAAAGTACTCAGTACACCACAACACTTCACTAGGACATACAGCAAACAACTAAGCGAAAGCTGTTCCAGACACCATGCACCTTCCTCTTACAGGAGAGTCAATAGTAGCTATCATCCTTCGGTAACACCATCGCATCTCATGCTACGCAAACCGGTCACCGGCCCGCTCATGAGCACTATCCATGAGTTCGAGATGGACAAGGGACAGATCAGGTAACCATGCTTGAAACTATATATTGGAACGTAATATAGCCATCTAGTCTCAAAAAGCAACTTAAGATGTTGTTTCTGAATAGTGCCTTGCTCTTAGGGCTCATATCTTGTTGCCTAGCGGTACCCCACCGTAACGTCGGCAGAGCCACTACATCCCTCATCCCAACTTCCTCTCTGTCAGGAGCAAATGGAGCACCAACAAAAGCCCCAAATGCCGACCAGAAGAAATACTCCAAGCATGTCAATGACTTCTACAAGCTCTATGGCTGGCTCAAGCCAGGCACTTCAGTGCCAGACAAGGATCTTCCAGAGGCCATCCGTAAGATCCAGGCAAAGCTAAAGGAGCCCGTGACTGGGGAATTCAGTGAAAAAATGGTGGCTATGATGGATGGGCCTCGCTGTGGAACTGAACAGCAGTATATTGGTACTGAGGCTGGGGAAATTCAGGAGTCCAAGGAGCGATATGTGCTTTGGGGCCCGAAATGGGCCAAGACGACATTGACCTGGCGCATCGACAGGTATACAAACGACTTGTCGCAGGAGCGACAGCTGAGTACTATAGGGTCGGTGCGTAGCGCATGAGTCTTACGGATGCTAACATCCCCCAGCGCAGCCTTTGCTGAATGGATGAACTTTGCCCCACTCAACATTGTCCAAGCAGCTTCAAATGTAAGGGCCGACATAAACATCCGTTTCTTGCCCATCAGCAGTAACACAACTGTCGCCATCACAATGATAGACACAGATGGTGTATATTTTACTCCGGGTAAGATCAACATCACATTCAACGACAACGAACAGTGGGCAGACAACATTCTCTTCTCCACCACAGCTGTACATGAAATAGGCCACGCCCTCGGACTAAGTCACAGCAGCATTCCATCAGCCATCATGTTCGCCTACTACGACGGTCTCATGCACCCAATCCACCCCGACGACAAAATGGGCATCCACAGCATCTACGGCTGGAAAACCCCAAAATGGAAACTCATAGATTCTGGCTCCAAAATCAGCAGCTTGATCCAA